GTGGGGCTGAAGCAGGCGAAACCCTTAGGGATGCCATGCTCGGCTGATGGGCACGCTGTGCTGCGGAGCGAGGGCAGGTGACAGCGCGTGTGTCCCCTCCAGGCTCTGCTGATGGAGACCACCAAGCTCAAGCCCTTCAGCCGGGATGCAGTACGTGCTGTGCCGCTGGACCGATGGGCTCTATTACCTTGGGAAGATCAAGAGGGTAACGTGGGCACCCAGGGGGTAACTAGGCACCCAGAGGGTAACGTGGGCACCCAGGGGGTAACTAGGCACCCAGAGGGTAACGTGGGCACCCAGGGGGTAACTAGGCACCCAGAGGGTAACGTGGGCACCCAGGGGGTAACTAGGCACCCAGAGGGTAACGTGGGCACCCAGGGGGTAACTAGGCACCCAGAGGGTAACGTGGGCACTCAGGGGGTAATGGGAACACCTGAAGTATATAATAAGTTCTGTTCCCTGGGTCAGCTCAAGGCTTGGGGGTGCTGGCCTGGGATGCAGTGTGTCTTTGGTCAGATGGGAATTTTGGGTGGGTGTCATGCCCCACACCTGACTTCCCACAGCCCCAAGAGACAGGGAAGCACTGGGAACGGGAGCTGACTCAGAATGGTTCTTCCCTCTCTCTCCTTGCAGGTGAGTGGCTCCAAGCAGAGCTGCCTGGTCACGTTTGAGGACAACTCCAAGTATTGGGTCCTCTGGAAGGACATCCAGCATGGTGAGTGCTGCCTCATCCTCCCTTCCCACCGCTGTGCCAGGGAGTCCTTCCCAGCACCACGGGGACGTGGCTGTGCCTCACATATCTGACTCTGCCATCCCCATCCCACAGCTGGTGTCCCTGGGGAGGAGCCCAAGTGCAGCATCTGCCTGGGGAAGACATCAGGCCCCAGGAATGAAATCCTCATCTGCGGGAAGTGCGGGCTGGGTGAGTATGGGCATATCACCCTGGGGGGAGGGTCCAGCCAGCCCCATGGTGCTGATGCTGAGCCTTCCCACAGGTTATCACCAGCAGTGCCACATCCCAGTGGCGAGTGGCAGTGAGGGCCCACTGGGGACCCCGTGGTTCTGCCGCCGCTGCATATTTGCCCTGGCTGTGCGGGTGAGTTGAGGGCTGCCCAGGGATCCCAGCTCTGTGGGGCAGGATGTGCCCCCCAAGGCAGCTGTGCTGATCCCATCCTGCTCATTCCCACAGAAGGGAGGTGCCCTGAAGAAAGGAGCCATTGCCAGGACACTGCAAGCTGTGAAGATGGTGCTGTCCTACAACCCTGAGCTGCTGGAGTGGGACTCCCCACACAGGACCAACCAGCAGCAGTGCTACTGCTACTGTGGAGGCCCTGGAGAGTAAGGCCCTAGCTGCCTGCCACAACTGGTTTTGTGGGGAAAAGGAAGATGGTATCAGGGTCAAATGTTTTACCCCAAGAGAAAAGCACTTGGCTTGCAGGACATTGCCCCAGAGCAGCAGCTTTGCTGCCCACACTGCCATCCAGGTGTCCACTCGGTCCTGGAGGCACCATTTGCACCCACCTCTGGGGTTGCAGAAAATACAAGTTGGAGAGGGAGGGAGTCAGGGTAGTGGCTTGCCACACACTGCCCTCACTGTCACTTTCCTCCTGTCCCTCCCCAGGTGGTACCTGAAGATGCTGCAGTGCTACCGCTGCCGACAGTGGTTCCATGAAGCCTGTACCCAGTGCCTCAGTGACCCCATGATGTTTGGAGACAGGTATGTGCCTTCTGCACTGTGCTGAGCTGCCTTTCCAGGGGGAACTCATGCACAAACATATCCCCAGTTGTATCTCCCTGATCCATCTGGCACCTGGGGACAGGCAGGTGGTCCCATCCTGCAGTGTCCTGCTCCTCCTGTCTGTGCTGTCACTGTTGGTACCCAGAGCACTATCCTCAGCCAACCCATCCCCAGACCCTGCATGGCTGTGGGAGTGATCCTCACCCCTAATGCTCTCCCTCCTGGCTGTTTTCCAGGTTCTATGTGTTTTTCTGCTCTGTATGCAACCAGGGACCTGAATACATCAAGCGCCTGCCCTTGAGATGGTAAGAAACAGGTCTCAGCTCCTTTGGGATGTGCCAGGATGGCCATGGGGCACTGGGCTGACTGATCCTCAGAGGTGTTCAAGATCAGGCTGGATGGGACTGTGAGCAATCTAGTCTAGTGAAAGGTGTCCCTGCCCATGGCAGAGAGGTTGGATCTGGGTGGTCTTTAAGGTTCCTTTCAACCCAAATCTTTCTATGTTTCTATGTTTGGGGTTCCCCCAGGCTGCAGATAATGTCCCACCCCTCCCCAAAGCTCAAAGGATGATGTCTTGGCTATGGTATCCCCCAAACTGGGTTGCTTCCCCTGTGAGGTGTGGGAATGGTCCCATGTTCCAGCAGTGGGTTTTGGGAGGACCTGGGAGCTGGAGCAGCACTGGCAGAGCAGGACATCATGCTGGGTACCATCATGCAGGGAGAGGGTGGGCTGCTGACCCCCTGCCCCCCTTGGCTGCTGCAGGGTGGATGTTGTCCATCTCGCCCTCTACAACCTGGGTGTACAGAGCAAGAAGAAGTACTTTGACTTTGAGGAGATCTTGGCCTTCGTGAACCACCACTGGGACCCGCTGCAGCTTGGGAAGGTAGAAACACACAGCCCAGGCTCGGGCTGGAGAGCAGCCGCAGGGCTGGGATTGCCCTTGTTGGGGTGTCAGGCCTGACACGTTTCACAGTTGGAAGTAGAGCTGGGAGAAGCACTAACATCAAGGCATGTTGGAAACCTCTCCCCACGGTGGGATGGGTCGACTCCCTGTGAACGCTGAGAGGGCAGGGAGTGCCAAACCCTGGCGGCTCTGGGTCTTGGCATCCTTCCCTCCCTGACCTTGGGCAGGAGCTGAAACCCGGAGTTTGGGTTCCCCCAGCTGTTTGGTTTTTGCATAACCACAGCAGGAGCCCTGCCTGACCCTCTCCTCTCCCTGCAGCTCACAGGTACCCCCATCTCCGAGCGCGGCCCACACCTCCTCAACGCGCTCAACAGCTACAAAAGCAGGTGAGCCCTGGGGGAGGGATGGAGACAGAGTGGGATGCAGGATGCTCCTGTTCCCCTCAGCTGAGGGTTGTTTCCTCCCTTCCAGGTTTCTGTGTGGGAAGGAGATCAAGAAGAAGAAATGCATCTTCCGCCTGCGGATCCGCGTTCCGCCGAACCCTCCCAGCAAGGTGCTGCCGGAGAAAGCCCCTGGTGAGGCTGAGAGCAGCTCCTGTGAGCTGAAGAAGAGGGGGAAAAAATATGTCCATAAGGACAGGTGAGTGGCCACGTTTGCCTGGGCACCCCTGTGGCAGCAGCAGCCCATGCCCATGCTGTCCTCACCTGCTGTCCTTGCAGCCTCCTGCCGCGGCAGCTCCAGCAGCAGAAGCGGAGAGCGGCACGGCGCAAGAGGGCCAAGTTCCTGCTGGAGGATGCTATTCCCAGTGTGAGTCCTTCATCCCCTTCTCTGCATGACCATCCTGCACGACCAGCTCAGTGGGACCCCCCTAGTCCCATCCCGGGGCTCCTCACAAGATTTCCCCACTCCTGCAGGCAGGGAAAGCCTCTCTCCCTCGCCCTGGGAAGTGTTCTTTGCCAAGTCCTCTTCCCGGGGGTGGCAGGGCAGAGGGTGCTGGGGTGCTGGCAGCATTCCTTTGCCTGGCAGTGACAAGTGAGCTTGTTTTTGTGACACAGAGTGACTTCACCTCTGCCTGGAGCACCAACCACCACCTGGCCAGCATCTTTGACTTCACGCTGGATGAGATCCAGAGCCTGAAAAGGTCTGTGCAGCCCAGCCTGAGGTGTGGGGGGGCAGGGGTGCTGCTTGTCCCTGGCTGAGGCTGATTGCATCCTATCCCATTCCCAGTGCCAGCTCAGGACAGACTTTCCTATCGGACGTGGACTCCACGGATGCTGCCAGCACCTCAGGCTCGGCCACCACCAGCCTCTCCTACGAGTCCAGGTGAGGGCTGTGGCCCTGACCCCTTCTCCCGAGGGGTC